TGCATCCATGCTGCATTCAGAGGGAGACGGGAGAGCTGAGCTTTACTGAGAATCTCCACCCAGACACAAAGCCATGGTCAGTAGAGCCACATGCCAGCTGAAATCTAGGCATAACAACCAAGCACCCGAATGGTGCCACACATGAAATCAAATGGATGTTTTAGCTGTTAGCAGATGACTGTCTCCACAGCAAAATTTACATCCATAACTGACAGCACAGTTCCTCTAGATATTGTTGGACATGACTAACTCCAGGACAACAAGAAAGTCATGATGTATAGCTCTTAAACCAAATGATACTGCAGTCACTCTAAGTAATGTAAGCCCAGGCCTACATATCAGTGCTATATTAGTGCAGCATATGCCCCATATTAGTGCGGCAGAATAATGCCTGCTCATTATGGGTGAGGCCCATGCTGCTCAGCTTTTTCAAACAACATTAAAATAATGTATTTTTTTCTATGGCATGCAATGAGAAAATACAATTAAGTACAGGATGATACTCCTCAAAATCACCCGTTGGACTGGATGAAGTCAGTATAAGGTCTTCAAAGCAAGTGCTTTTAACAGGAGTAGATTTATTTTTGTTGAGATCTTATTGTGCCATAAAATTGCTTGTACTGTACATAGAGCAGTAGGAGCAGACATGGCTATGCTCGAGAAAAAATACTGTGTCAGGTAGGCTCCACATTTTGGGCTAGGCACATTAATTTGGCTTCCTTCTGAGAAGGAACGTAAGCAAAGTTACATCCTCTGAAATAATCTGGCTATCAGTACAGCTAGCTTCTTTCCTTGTTTTCCATCAGGTTTCTCAAGCTTTAGATGGAGAGATAATCTTACTTATGTGTACACAGTTCCTGGCCTGTAGGTTCAGATGAGCACTGGTTGCTGCCAAGCGTGGAAGCGAGGTTCTTTGGTGTTTGCTTAGAAATGCTATCCCTTGGCAGCAAGACAAAACATCCAGTTCACTTTATGGATGATTGTGAACGGTGACTACCAACCCTAACAGTTAACCCATAGCAACTCAGAAGTAAGCATCAATTTATCACATTCAATCATCAATCAATTCACATGATTTTAATACTTCTGTAACATGTGTGTATGTAACATGCTTATTCTTACTTCATGTCATCATATGGGGTGTTATATTATGCCACACTGTGGCATGTATACTCTGTTCCATAAAACCTCTCCACTCCTTAGCTTATTTTTATTCACCTGAGGCTGTAGAATTTCTGATGCATTATAGGGTTTCTCTTCACATTTACAGGAAAACAATGCCCAGAACAAGGGAAAAAAACATCCCAATCTCTAACCTTCACATTCTTCCTGAAGGAGTACTGAAACTCAGAATAATTTCACGATTCAAGAAGCTATATATATATGTGTGCATATGCACATACACAGAAGATCTAGCAGGTGTATTTATTTTCCTTTAAAGACAAATGTCAAAAGGCATCAATCGTCTTATGCAACTGCTTTTGTGGCTGTCCACTTTACACACAGATGGGAACATGTTACCATTCCCCACGATGACATACTGAAACATGTGGACATAAGCAGGAGCAGTGCTGGACAAAAGCCACTTGGCTCACTTATGAGTCCATGAAACAGAGCTGAACCCAGGCAAGGCTCATATCCATCCCTCAGCCTGGCTCTGAACCTGTCAGAGATCCTGCAGTGCTGTGAGAGCTGAAATGACAGCGATGGGGCTGCCTAGCATATTGCAGAGCCTGGTCTTCAGGGAAGTAATTTACCAATTAAGAGAAAAAGAAATTTCCAGCTAATGGACTATGGTACTGCGGGGATTGCTGGTTGCTTGTGGTAGCAATTCGGCTGAGCAAACAGCTACCACAGGTAGAAAAGAGGGCACACTCCTGCTGCTGTGACCCCACTAGATGCAGTGAGTCAGAAGGAAAAGGCTTAAGGAAGGCTTAAAGAGTGGGCTGGATTTCAGCTATCATCTTGGCAAAGTCAAACCAGAAACTTGGCTTAGGAGCACAGGTGACAGAGCTGTTTGTTCTAGAAAAAAGAAGACTTGACCATTTAAAAATATATTTTTAAAATATGTGGTCTACTAAGAGTGAGAGGAAAACCAATTTATTTTATTTGCAGGTTATATCCTCAGGAATGTTTCCTAATGCTAAGTTTTAATAACTACTGAAATGAGTTAAACAGGAAGGCATTGGGATCTTTTTTCAGTGAAGATTTTAAAAGATAGTCTGAAGTTGCTTAGGGAGCATCTTCCAGCTTAGGGAATGGACTGTACAAGGTTTCAGACCTCTTCAAGCTCTGCCTTCCTGGGTTTCAGTGATTAATGTGTCCAGGAGAGCTAGCTAACTCACCCACAGCTGGAGCACAGCACCGTGAGCAGCCTCTGTGAGCTGGAAGCTACAACTGAAACAGTGAACTCCACCAGTTGGGGTTCTGTAGTTTTCACACAGTTCAGAGACTCGGTTGGAATAGTGAGACTTTTCTCTCGTGCGGCCAGGAAAGGGTTGTCAGCACGGCTTATACTCCAGGCAGACAGGAAGGAAAAGGTGCTGTCACTCAAATGACAGAGCCCACTGGTTCCCTCCCCACCCTATGTGTGACTTCAGAAGCTCTGGTTTCTGGCTTCCTGTTTCTTTCTGGACCCTTCAAGTCAGGGGCTCCTCTCGGCTTGTGCTGCAGCTTGTATATATAGCAGTATGATGTTAGCTGCGCCCAGGTATTACTCCAGTTCATATATTAAGAACTAGTACTAGTAGATGTTGGAGACCTGGCTTGTGCCCACAGGCAGGCTGAGTGCCACAGGATGGCAGCCTTGCACCAAGCAGAACTGCAGACCCCATCTCTCCACCTCCCTCTCCCCCTGCTAGGTAAGCAGCTGGGAAGAGTCTTTTGAGGAAAACCACAGACTTTGAAAGCTGCATCCCCTGTGTAGCTACAGCCAGGTACTGAAATCTCACTTCATAGGAACTGTCAGCGTGTTTAGCATAGAGCTGAAGCTATCAGTGTTGTTCAAATGCTTGAGTTTGACAATTAACATCTCTAGAGCTGAAGCTATACAGCAACCTGAGGCAAACACTGTGCTGAACTCAAAGACTGGGCTGAATACTTCAATATAAAACAAACCAAACTGGGGGGATGAGTTGGTATGCTCAAGGGCAGGGCTGCCACTCAGAGGGACCTCAGCCTTGCACAAAGGAAAGATGAGCCAGCCTTAAAACCTAACATTTTCTTCTGTATTGCTTGTATCTGATAATATTTTGCAAGAAAAGATTACAGTCTGTTTAAGGAAGATGTACTATTGGTTTACCCTTTTCTTATGTTTTGGACTGTTGAATGACAATACTTGTTTTTGAGGATGTTCAGTCAGAGTTGCTCCGAACCTGGTGGGAACAGCTCCTTGGAGTGGAGCTGCATACAGGTGTCAAACCCAGGTTCACTCAGTTTCCACAGCTGGGCTACTGAGCTGGCTGCCAGGCAGACCCTCTCTTAAATTACTTGACAACACCCAACAGACAAAAAGAAAAACTGAAATTACCAGAAATAAAGACATGTTAGGAAAACAAAGCTAAGGATGGTTTGGAGCAAAGAGGGGATGATGCTGTTCCCCTAATAGATGCATCCAAGAAGGCTTACAGTTTATCCTGAAATAAACAGACTTTCTGCTTAGTGTATATAGAGATAAATTCATCACTAACTTATGCATGATACAAGTAAGGCAAAGTATCTCTTATTGTGTAACATTAACAACAGAGAAGTACTCTAGCAAACAGATCCTGTGTGCTTTTCATGTTTGCCTGATGCACAGAGTTCCACAGAGCACCTCTCTTTCAGGAGCTGAATGGGCATCTTGGGAATTCAGGCTTCTGAATGAACTTCTGGTGGGCAGAGAGAGAAATACTACTCCTTCAGTTCTGAACAGGGGCAAGAGTGGGCTGAATTCTCTCACACAGAGCTCTTAAAGGAAAAAGTGCAGTCAGATATCCCAAGTTCATAACCCAGACATCTTGCCTGAAATACTGGTAGTACAATCAGTTGGATGTTTTCCTTTATATTTGCATAAGCAGTAAGTCTCATAAATGAGTAGGCAGGGCTTCAATCACAGCAACATTTTAGTGTCTAACTTCCATTGGTTTCAGTGATGATAAAATACCCAAATCTGAACTGAACCTAAATGACACTAACCCCTGGATTTGGCCAAATGCCCTTTCTGAGGTAACAGCATCATTAGTTCCCAAAGAGATCTTGGGCATGTAAAGTCCAGGCACTGTTTTTGATAAAGCAGCAAATATCTTTTCATTTGAATTGCAGCAATTCTTACTTTTTAAGATGCTCCTACTGCATTTCCTTGTGAAGCTGCTTATGACTGGCCCGTCCTTACAAACAATCCCCCTGGTTACTCAGGCTTCTTGGTACCAGGTTAGCCATAGATATCAGAGCTTTCAGTAGGTACTCTCCTATGGTAACAGCATTGTAAAACATGTTACAAAGATGTTGTTTCCCACACTGGGTCATAGAGAAGCATAAGTTGTGGTTGAGAGCCACACTGTGCCTCTGCTAAGTTGTGACTGAAAATTTCAAGTTACTCTCCCAGCTGGGCGAGCAGGCTCTCCAACTGGACCTGGGGTTTTGCTGTTCTAAGCCTACACACAAAGTCCCTGGAAAGCGGGCAGGGCAGAATATGTCCCAAGGGGACGGTCACGGGGCGCCCCAAGGGGAGGGCCAGCGCGGTGCTAGGAGGAGAGCACAGCACGCTTGAGGCCCCAACTCCCACCCTGTGCCGAGGCTGGCCACCTCCCCGTGAGCACCAGCTCCCTCTGCCTGGGTACATCCCCGCTCCCCTTCTAGAGCAAGCAGGGAGGCTGTCAGTCACCTCTAAACATTCCCAGGCGAGCCTTTTGTGTAGGACAGCACACCCGACGGCAAGGGAGCAGAGGTTATAGACAGGTAGGGATCCTGCTGCGATGGCATTAACGATAGGGGTAGACCTTGGACTGCTCTGCCGGTAGTCAGGGGAACGGCATGGTTTGCCAGCCAACGAAAATATAAAAGGGCAGCAGCGAGTGGGAGAGCCGGCACTGCCGCCTGCCCCGCAGGCTGACCCTGCTCCCAGCCACAGCCGAGCATCCTTGTCTCAGCAAGCGCGGCCAAGCGGGAAGCCGGGTGGTGACAAACCCATCCACTGGCATCTGGAGAAAGAGTAAGTCACTGTCTTTGTTTCAGCTCTAAAAAGAGGGGGTAAATGACAGAGGAACGTTTAATAACTTGTATTATTAGGAATAAGGCCATTTCTCTTCTAGCACAATCATTTTCTTGCCAGTAATTCTGTCCCAGCAGGTTTTGTGGGTTTTTTTCAGATTTGTTGTTTTGTAATCACGGTGAAATAACAGATCCTGCAAAGTTTGTCTTTCATATGTTGCAACTGTTTATGCGCTGTATCTGTGTGCCTTAGGTAATAATTAATAGCTCTATGAATAATAACCATGAAGAACAGGGGAATTGTTTTGTTCAATTTTGCTAGTACTTCTTCAGGCACATCTTTAAAGGTGACAGGAGTGTTGGTGGGAATTATTCCAGCTGACAGGATTTGAGTCATTTTATTCAGTTAAAACTGCAGAAGAGCACTGGAACAGGAGGACTGGGGAAAGAGAAGCTAGGACCTGTGCTTAATTATGGCATTTAATTTACCTGTTGTTTAGACTTGTGTTTTATTCTGTATTATTTAGTTTATAAAGAAAGCCAGTGATACAGTCAGGACAAAACAAAGGAAATATACCATCTTTATATAGCTCTGGAGTTGCAATGGCAATGACAACATCCACTACGCGAGTGAGTGAACATGAGCTGAGATACCCAGTACCACGAAGTCCTACTCCAGCGTCTCAGTCTCCAGCTGCTTAGTCACCATTAACATTTCATGACAGCTTTCTATCATGTAGCTTAACCCCCACACATTTTTTTCTTAATTTAGGATTTGAACAATAGAAAATAAAGTGTTAAAATATGCATTTTATACCATACTCATTCATGAAATAAGCATTACGGTTTGGGCTTGCAAATCTTTAATTTAGTCTAATGCTTAACTTGAACTTTTGTCCAGGTCAGGTTAGAAAGAGAAACAGTAACAAAAAGTTGCAGTCCAGCTTTCTTTCCTAAAGTTCACTCAGTGTCAATACCCTTGCTCCAGGGAGTAGCAGGTTTGACATGAAAATATCAGAATTTTAAAAAGTGGATTTAAAATTAATCTTAGTTCCTGGTGTGTTCAAGTGCTCAGTTTGTGCCGCCAAGGGTAACTCCAGTTTTCAGGCAGTGCTGACCACCCATCCTTGGGACACCTGATTTCCCAGAAGGTGTCCCTTTCTAAGGACAGATGAACAAAGACGGATTTGATTGTGCATACCCTAAAATTGCAAGCCTTACTTATAATGTGATGTGCTAGTGCATTCATGAGCATACAGATTCGCACTTTATACATGTGTATGCACTTTTTCTTTCTTTAGTACTCAGACTCTAAATCACAGGAAGCACAATCCCCATGAAACTGTAGCTTACATACATTCAGTGCATTCAGTCAGCATTGGTACTGAAGTAAATTGTATTTGCTAAGGCTTCTGTTTTACAAAAATAAATAAAATGAGCCTAATGGAAGGCAAAAGGCTAGATCATTCAATAAGCAAACATGGAATTTGTTGAAAAGTACTAATCTATTATATAGAGTAGAATTAAAATCTTTTTACTATGTACATGTAACTGTGTATCCTGGGGTTTCTCTTTAACACAAAGCCAGGGCATGATTTTGTATTCCTGACACCTTTTGATATAGGACTGTCTCATAAAGCATCAGGACAAGAGTTCAAGCCACCAGTGGCCCCATTACTTGAAAGCTGCAGAAGGCACCGCAGAGAAATATCAGTCAACAGACTGGAATAGCTGCCTGGTTAAACAGCAGCAGGAAGAAACTGTTTTTTCTATAGTGCCTTCCCTCTGAGACTCTTAAAGCACTTCATAACCACTGAATAGAAAACTGGGTCTTGTAGTCATAGATTGTGCTAGCAGGCAGGATGGAGGCACTGCTACAAATAAAATTCTGATATTTCATTTCATTAGATCAGATTTATACCACTGGTTTCAACCCAGGTACGCAGATGTAATGACAAATGCTGTCCATGTGCTTGAGTGGATAAGGCATGTTTGATCTGCTGCTGCTTTGTAAAGCTGAGCAGAAGAGTGCTCTCCTCTCAAATTGGTAAAGCTTTATACTACTTTCTTTTCACTTGTCACTTACGTAAATGCTCGTCCTGATGCAATTCGAAGGTGAATACCCAGAGCAGTGGGGGTCAGCCTTCCCGGACAGCATGTACTGTGCACACCTCCATGCTGGAATAGCTCCAGGCCTGTTCCAGCAAAGCAAATCCTGACACTCATCTTGGTCTCCTGCTCTTTATTAGGAAAAGTGCAGATTGCACACGTGAAGCAGGGCATAAAAATGAAAGCCTTACACATGCATCCTTTCTTCTCTCTAGATTTGGAATAATCAGGCTGTGACCTGCCAAGGCTGTGCTTCATCCAGCATTAGAGGGGAGGTATAACCACTCCCAGTTCTTTGGGAGAAAAGGACTTTGCCCTTTTCCTTGCATTTTCTCCTATTAATCTGCCTTCCTGCAGCTGCATGTCACAACCTTCCCCACTATAACATTTGCCTCTGGTATGGACAGAAGCTTTGCATGGGATAGACAGGCTTGACCATTCTGCAGAGATGTTTTTAGATGAACTCTGTCCCTGAGGCTGTGCTTACCTCAAATACCAAAATATCCACACAGGAACATTTTCGAGGTTCTGCGTGTTGTTAAAGCTCAACACAACAGAACTGCCTATTTTGTCTTGCATTTTTATCACTTCTGGGAAGGAATTTGTTCTGCTGCTCTTGACAGCATCATGACTACAGCACTGGCTGCTCAGCCTAATGACAGCAGCCCAGGTTTTTGCTGCACAAGAAAATGCAAATACAATTTTCAAGTTATTGACAACAAGAAGGGATCATCACGCTGCAGTCTGGAAGTCTGTAGAACATCAGTTTTTATCACCAAGTTATTTTCCTGTATTTATCTGTGGAGTAACTAAATAAATATGGTAATTGTTTAAACAGAGATTGAAAACAAAATACTTCTCTCTCTGCCATCAGCACACTTAAGAAACTCCTAAAACTCCCACAGAGGAAAAAGGTCAAATCCAGCATTTTGTTTCCCTCAAGGCCTGAGCCTCCCCGGGGCTTTCTGGTCAGGACTTCTGCAGGTAAGACTCAGGCTGTGAAGGAACTGACTGCATTTTACATAACTCTTTACATTTTCCTGTAATCTTGTATTTTAATACCTGTTTAGTTCAGTAGATGTTAAAAGCTATCCTCACACTTTCTCATGTGCATACCTGTTTGCATACCAGAGACGCTATTTCAGTTTACTCTTTCAAATGCTGAAGAAAGTACCCTTTAAAACCTCCAGTTAGTTACAATTACAACACAGCACAGATACTCACTGGTAGCCCTGTGCAGTCTTCAAAAGCCCCTTCTTCAACAGACATTTCACAGGTTAGACCAACATTAAACATCACTGAAAGAGTACGCAGATGAAGGTAAGCCTGGTGCATGCTTTGCTCCTTAGAGTAACAGGAGCTTGTCTGCACTCCTCCCCCTGCCTTCTTTTTGAGGTTCCAGAGTGGCAGGCGAGTAACTGTACCTATGTCCTTGCTGACACCTTCACTCTGAAATGCAACCTACTTTTTTTACACATCCCTCCCATACCTGCATAGAAAGGAAAAGAAAGAGGCAGTCTTCATAGTTCTAAATGCTTTTGGAGTTGTCCAGCCTTTCATGCTATTTTGATCTGAACTGGGTGGTTCTGGTATTCATTCTGTGTACATTACTCAAGCTGCACAAGATTATATGGATTTAAGCTCCTCTTTGCTTAATACAGCACTTTCACATAGGCACATGTTAACACAAGTGATCAATGACGGGTTTTAATTAGGTTTTTTTTCTGAATAAAGAATGGAAGAAAGCACCCTGTGAAGAAATTAATTATATAGGCTTTGGACTTCCATTGAATAGGATTAACTTTCCTTGAGACAGTAGCATTCTCACACAACAGCCGAAGGCTTTTTATTGCTTTTTTGCAATTTTCTTAATACACAGATCTGTAATTAGGAAAAAAAATAAAAATTAGTGGAATGATCAAAGCAACTTCAGAAACCTGAAATGGCACTATTACTGAATAAGCTTTGAAAATCTCCTTTAGCTATTGAAACCTGTGAAGAAAAAAGGAGCATGGCTGGAATCATGTGCTAGAAAACTCTGGGGATAAAATATAATAAAACAGGGGTTTCAGTGTTGGAAAGAGGATACACATCTAAAAACATGCATGGCTGAAGCAATCAAACTGGAACTATTTTCTGCTGGTTCCTATGTCTAGTGTGATTTCCACATGAAAAGTCCCCCACTCAGGAAAGAAATGAACAAATGGTTTGCCAGATTTAGATCACTCAAAACTGTTCTTTCAGAAGCAGGCTATTCCTACTGGAAGCAAGCAAAATTTACACAAAATCATTGGGATTTCTGTTTGCTGCTAGGCAGGGAATGCAGCTTCTCTTCTCCCCTCCCTATCACAGAGATCTCAGCTGCAAAGCAGTGGCTGCCTTACCCCTCCCCAGGCCAACATTGCAGGCTGGAAGGACTCCCAAGGCAGCTGCTGCGATCCAGCTTCTCTCCAGTTTTTGCAGGGAAGGAACAACTCATTACTGAACAACAAATACTGAACTGGATATAAAACACACAAATCAGAAGCCAAAGCAGGAGCAGAGTGGGTGGCTCTCCTAGAGAAACGCTGTTCCTCTCTTTTACTTTGTCATGCTTGTAAAGTCATCAAAAAAACTGCCACAGAGCCTCAGTTCACTTTTTCTGTATGTTCTGCCCTATTAAAGAGCTTCCTGACTTGTTAAGAAAGGCTTCCTACTCCTTCCTCCTTCTCCATTCCTCCCTCCCATCTCTGGCCTGCACTTGTCTCTCCTCTACCCAGCCCCTTATCACCATCTTTCCCCCTCATCTCTATAGCTGCCTCCTTTGCCCACAGCTACCTCCCTATTCCCCCATCAAGGCTGCTGCTGCTGTTTCTTTCTCACCCACCTGCATCCACTGAGTCTGTGCTCTGGGGTTTAGGTCCAGGTACTCCTAGAAATGCTTTACTACAGACTTATTTAGGTGTTAGAGAGCTGGTAAGCTTTCGTGCTTAGAGCTGACCTTTATTCCCTGTTCTCCAAGTATTCAGCTAAACAGAGATGGTTATAACAAAAAGTCCTCCAATTTGGGGTGACGCAAGAGCTTCCCCTCAATGTCAACAAAGACTTTTCTAAAGGAATATACAAGGAAAACTGTTCTGAGGTGTTTTAATGCTCTAACTGGCATCTAGTCACTGAGGAAACAGTGTCAGTTGTTTGGAGGAAAAGTGCATCAACTATCAGTACTTCCCATGTAGTGGTGGTACTTTACCACTGCTCAGTGAAGCTGAGTGACTGTTTACCCAGGCATAAGGAAAAGCAGGCATAAGAAAAGACCTCTGGGGCAATACTAGTTTTACTTGCCTCTTGTTTTTTTCCCACTTCTAATTTTAATTAACCCAAGCTGGTATTACTTCTGCTGGCAGTCATCTTGCAGCCTGGCAGATTCTTTTACTCGAAAATTTAAACCAAACTTTCAGCAATAGCACAAGACTCCTATAGTTCATACCAAATTTAGGCTACAGAGACATTCTGGTTTTAATCAAAATGTACTTACAAGTCAGTTCACTGCAACTGGTTAATGAACAAGCTCAACAATTTCTGGTATCATTCAAAAAGATACAACTTGGTACCATCAAGCTAGTGCAGTTAAGTTTTATCTATGCTTTAACTCATTTCTTCCTTGCAGGCAGCTCCTTCCACCTCCAAAATTAAAGCCAACCTTTTTCCAAGACTTAACCAGTGCAGACAGCAAAGTAATTTGTTTAAGAGACACATAATGCACATTTTTCTGTAGATAATTAACAACTTAAGTAAAGGTGCATTGCAGGTGACTTTGACACTTCACAGAGAAACAACCTGCAACATATATTTCATTGCTTGCATATCACTCACCGAAGCCACCCATAAACTAAATACTAAAACCTGAGTTTATAGGAATGTTTCTGCATTGCAGGGAGCAGAAGAGGATAGCAAGTATTTCTGGAGATAACATTTCCTGGAATGCCAGTATTCAGAATTTTGTTTGGATTTTACAGATGGAACCCTAATGCTATCAGCTAAGGAATTTTCCTTGGCTGGCTGCAAGATAATGGAGAACTAAAGGTTCTCTACTCTTCAGCACTGAAAGAAAGAAAAGGAATCAGGAGTTAAAACTAATGAGGAAGCATCAAAGTATTGTATTCTAATGTTTTTATGACTATTCTTCACATGCTATGTGGAAAAAGCAGTATCACCCCTTTTGATGCAGGTGCGAGTTTGAAATGCGGAAGTGTTGGGTCTTCAATGAAAATTTCTTTCCTTTAGTTCAGACTCATATTGTTAGCATTATCTAGGAATTCTTCTTGCAAATATTACCTCCACACCAGATAAACCCAAATAATATCACTGAGTTGTGTAAGAGTGGTTATATTACAGATTTCTGATTTATCAAAACTGTTAGCCACAGTTAAGGGCTGAGAAAATAAGCACAGTGTGGAGGTTTAGTAGTAGGATTTTCATGGTGATGCATGATTAGATGCTTAGATACTGGAAGCCAAATTAATCTAGAATTAATGATACGAGAACAGCTACAGCTTGGATTTGTCTGATCTTTGAAGTTAAACATTAGCTAAGAGCTGGACTGGCATTTCTGGTATGTTCCACAACATGGATTAAATATTTAAGCATTAAAATGTCTGTATCCTTCACTTAAGAAAACAACATACCAAATTCAGGGAGTACATACAGAATTAAATCATGTTTGAGTCAGTTTGTTTACATTTACATTACATGGGTCTTGCACAAGAACAATCATAATCTGCCAGACCAAATATCCATCTGTTGAGCAGCCACCTCCATGTGCAGCTGCAAGCATGTAGGAGAGATTTTCAATAGGACAAGAACAAGTGATACGTACTGCTCTAGCTTTCTTTCCCTCCAACTATTTTGAGCACATGGTCTTCTGTATGTAGGTGTGGTGCCTGTGTACATGATAATCGCAGTGGACGTCTCACTGAGCTTAACCAGTCCTGCCTCGAGCTGGTGAAAACTTTCTGCACCCCCAACATCTTTTGCTAAGGATCTGCAAGTCAGGTGTGACCCTAGTGGTTTTATCTGAGATGTCTTGCTCTTGTTCTTGGGACAAGCAGTGAAAAACTGATCTTTCCCCATAATCTCCACGTTATTTGTGCTTTAGTAGATCACCACTACATCCTGCCTCAACCACCTCTTGTCCCACTTAAAACTCTAACTTATGTAGTCCCACCTTACTTACAGGCATGCTCTTCAATGTCTCATCACTCTTGTTGCTCTTCTCTGAACTCCAGTCCTGTGGTATCTTTCCTGAAATGGTGGGATCTGAACTGCAAACAACAGGCAAGTGTCAGCGAACAAGCGATTTATGCAGTAGTTCAACAGCACCATCTTTTTTTTCTCCCATCATTTTCCTATTACCTCTTGACAACTTGATTACTTTTTGAAGCTGTTAAGCAATGAGATGATGTTTTGCTGTAACTGCCTATCACAAGCTAAAGATCTCATTCATGGAAAGGATCCGGTGGCAATGTCTGGCCCAGAGTCTACCATTGCTTATGTGCAGATTTTTCTCGCATGTGCATGTACCTTTCCCTTTTCTTCCTTATTCCAAGGATGGCAAGGCTCTGAACATTTACAAACCATCACAGTTTATACAGATACACTCACAGGGAACTTCAAAGAAAAAAAACAGGGTAGAGGACTATACCCTCTCTAAATAAGAAATGTGGAAAGCAGGACACAAACTATTCCATCATGATGCAGTTTTGTGGGTTTTTTTTTAAATTAGTATTAGTCAAAGGACACTCTCACTTGAATTTTCATCAGGAACTGAGCTTAACACATTAAGATCTAAATCACATACCTGGTAAACTACCATGCATACAAGAGTGCTAATGACTAAGAGAACTTTAGTGTGCTCCTAAAGAGACTCTCCTTTAATTGTCTCTTAAATGACCATGAAGTTTATAGCAGAAGATTCCATTGTGTAATGATAGGAGATTGAATAACAGACAAAACCGATTTCTGTTTTTATTCTAAATACTATTATTGTCCTGTTTAGCTGGTATGTTTCTCCAAAACTGCAGGTGTATTGCCACGTTTTCTGAGGTGAGGAGATATGCATTCCGGACACAGACCAATTTTTTCGCATGCTAAGGACCAAATTCTGCCTACTGCATGCCCTTACTGCTGCCTTCACTAGTACTTGCCAACTTTGGTAGAAATTTGATGCTAAATGTCTCTTGGTGTTTCAAAACAGTTACAGTTAAATCAGACAAACTTTCCAACATGTTACAATTTATATAATTTAACCACCCTTTCTTTCTTTCCCTTTGCCCATCATATCCCACACTCAGTTTAAAGGGAAGGTTAGCACAGCCCTTACTTAGCAATTCAGGTGTAAAACAAAACACTTCTCTTTAGTCTCCCTCAGACTGCCTCATTTGGTGAAGTGGAGAACAGGATCATTTGCCACCTCTATCTGCTGTTGGGAAGCAGACAAAGGGAAAGCAGAAAGGAGAAATGAGGAAGAGGAGTCCTGCTCTTACATTCACACTGAGCAGGCTTAGGAGGTGCCTGGATAGAGAAGAGGGTGTCCAAGCTGCCCTATATGCAGATGAAACTATTTAGAGCAAAAGAAGAGTGAAGAATCCCAAACATAAGACACAATTATTTTTTCTGAACCAGTGTAGCTATGTTTCCCCTCTAATGCAGGGCAACCTGCAAAACTGCAATATGGTTCTGAACAGACCATACAGTGAGTGGGTGCGAAAAGCAAAGTAATATTAACCGTTGAGTGATCTTCAGTGTAATAAAGAAATTGTTTTTCTTCAGTAGGTAAAGCCAAGTGGTATAAATCACTGAGTAAAAGGAGACACTTGGCAACTTGGCACCAGTACTAATGAAGCCAATAGCCTTCTCTGCTCTCTCCCTTTGGCTGGCTCTCCTTTTGGCTGGCTTCCTTGGCATGCACATCACTGGCAGTTTTGTGAGAAGTCAGAAGAACCATACGCTAATTTTCACCAAGGAAAACACAATTCGCAACTGCAGCTGCTCAGTGGATATCCGTGACTGCGACTACTGCCTGGCAAACTTGATGTGCAATTGCAAAACAGTGCTGCCTTCTACCATGGAAAAAACTACCTACAAGAGCCACCTCACCATTTGGTTCACAGACACCTCTGTGCTGGAGATGCTCCTCAACTTCACAAGGGTGTGGGATTTGAAGCTGTCCTTCTGTGGCACCACTCCTCTCCCAACAGAATACTTGGCCATTTGGGGACTTCAAAAGCTGCGGGTAAAAAAGGTCAAGGGGCTGTTTCCAGAGCAGAGTGTAACCATCTACAGCAGCAGCAACAATGAAAAAGAAAACTCACTCGCAATGCACAACAAAGACAGGCAAATGCTTGCACATATTTCTTTTCTGGATACCTCTCTTTTCAATGGCTATTCTTTGCTAAAGTCGTACAGTGTGGAAAACGTCTCTAGTATCATGGAGCACTTTCCCAGCCTGCTGTACTCTGATGTTTCCTCAACCTCAGATAACAAGAGCTATGTTGTAACATTCATTTACTGAGTTATTTGACATATTCAGTAGTCAGAGGCATGTTAGACTGCTAAGAGACTGACAAGACTTCTGTCTGGTTTGGCCAGGAGGAGCTGTTAGGCGATGAACAGTTCTGAATGTGACAGCACTCTACAAGGAGGTGTTTTAAGACAGACAGACTCAGACTGATTCAGTAAAAGCCTTCTTAAAGAACAAAGAAAATGTGAAATGACTGTTTTAGGAAGCATTGGTACAAATTCTTTCTATATATTGTAAGCTAAGAATTGGTATCTACAGACAAGTTTTGTTTTAAGGTTGCGCCTCAGAAAGAAAAAGACATAACCATGTATCTCCAGTTGTAAAGGAATCTGAGCCTCCCAGAGAGTCACTGGGGTTAGATGGCAGCTCAGGAGGTCTCTAGTACAACCCCCTGCCCCAAGGAGGGTCACCTCTGGGATCAGGCTTCTCAGGGGGTTCTGCAGTCAAGTCCCAAAACCCAAGGATGGAGCCTGCACAATCTCATTAGGCAACCTGCTCCACTGCCTGCCCATCCTCTTGGGGAAACCTTTTTCCATGGATGGACCCCAGCTTCCTCTTCTTCAGGCTGATCAAGCCCAGACTGTTCTCACTGTCATATGCACCAGTCCCAGACTGACCATCTTGATGCCTCTCCATTGGACTGCTTCTGCTGATCCATATCGTTCTTGCACTGGGAGGGGCAGAACTGCCTGCAGTACTCTGTATGGTGTACACTCTAATGAGTGCTGGGACAAGGGAAATAATCCCTTCCTTCTGCCTACTGGCCATGCCCCTGTTGATACAGCCCACTGCTGGCAGGTTCAATGTGTGTGAGGTGGCTACAGGTTACTCAAACTAGGAGTGCAGAGGTGTCCTTGCCCTCTGGTACTTGGTCAGAGCTGGGAAGCCTCTACTGGGGCTGCATGACACAGCCTCTTGTGAAAGCAGGGACGGGCTATGCAGACACCCTCCAACCTCAGCACCCAGTAAAGGCATGTTTAGAGGATGACCAGGAAGCTGTGTTCTTTGCCAAGCCATGGCAAAGAAAGCATGGGAAAGCACTGGGCAGGAGGCCACCCGACAGGTGAGACGCCATGCTCACAAAGGTGTTTTTCCCAGGGAAATGGGGTGTGCTGACACCTGCAATTTCCCCAAATGCCAGGAGCTTGACTTCATCTTCTGTGATAATGGCAAGCTCTGCCAATGTTCTCCTCTACAAGAAAGCAGAAAGATCCCATCCAATGACTTGTCTGATAAGGGAGGCGAGGCTTCTGGCAGACATGTAGCAAACAATTTTTAGATGCATTGCAGGAAACATATGCTGGGACTATTGATGTACCACACAGTCTGCTCCTTGCCCATTTCTGCAGCATTTGCATTCCATGAGGTACAAATACAGGAACCATCCGTATAGTATAATACAGGCCTTGGAATACCAAGTCCTAACAGTCTGCCATTGCCAGCAAAGAATTACATGAAATTGGGATAAAATATGTACTGAGGGGAATGGCTATCAAGATTTCGAGGAACCAATGAAGTTCCTTCAACACCTTTAAAGAGGGACTTCTTTTCTAACTGCAATCAATGTCACAGCAGTTTTGCCAGGAAGCAAAACTTAATCTTCCAGAATACTTAAATACATGCACACCTTCCATTACTGTGAGTTCTCTCACTCAACTCAACCATGTGGTAACTACTGAATTAATGGAGTTTATTTGCAACTGCAAGTTAACAGATTTAAGCACATGAGTGTTTGAAGGCTGGGGACTGAACTCAGTTTAACTCAACCAGACAACTATTAAATCAGCTGTTGTAAAGGCCTTGTTTCCTTTGTCAGCACCTGAGCAACAAACACAAGCCTTCTTCCCACATCATAAATATTTCTGGTGATACCTCTCACAACTGTGTCATGGGTCACAGAACAGACATGAGCAGGAGCTGGGCTGACAGAGGTTGGTGACAGTGGGGTGGTGGTGTTCTGGGCACGTTACATGCCTGGAATGTAATACAGACACACGCAAATCATTCATATTGTCTCCCCAGGCATCCCATGATCCAAGTGCCTCCAAGAACACTAACCTTGCCTTCACAAACTGGCTAGTCACTAATCATGCACAGAATGCCGTTTTAAATACAGAGCTGGTACACACGTTTATTGATTTCTGAATATTGTCAATGCTCTCATCAAACCTAAATGATCTTCAGCGAATTCACTGAGGCTCTGCTGCCCTCTAGTAAACAATGTGCTGAATAGCACAGTACTTCCACATTGCCCTGACAGCAGAGTCTGGCTGCTGATACTGTTCAAAATTCACACCCGCACTAGTAACTGAGAATGTTGGGAAGAAACCTTGTTGGGAAGAAACCTTATGGTTAATAATTCCATAGGCTTTTAAACACTTCAAACTACAGTTACAGTTAGTTTTGCCATTGTAGTGTTGTGAGTAAAACTGACGCAGAAGACCTTTTACTCCTGTGTCCAATTACGCACTGCAGAGATTTTGCTGGAATCAGGAAAAAATCCTCCTCTCAATTACATGTGCAGCAAAAAACCACAGCACCAATGCTGCAGTGATCTTTTCAACTCCCCTGTTCTTCTCCAGCAGATACCAAGAACCTGATCCTCCCAATTCGAATTTTATATGGCTTTGCCATATAACAATGCTGCATTGGAAGCTTGATGAATTTCTTCAAGTGATGCATATAAAACGTATCTTAGACTCACAGAATTGTAGAATGGCTTGGGGTGGAAGGACCCTTAAAACTCACCCAGTTCCAACTCCCCTGCCATGGTCAGGGACACCTTCCACTAGACCAGGTTGCCTCAAGCCCCGTCTAACCTGGCCTTGAACACGGCCAGGCAGCCACATCTTCTCTGGGCTACCTGTTCCACAATTGTTGTGAATGTTACTAGCTCTGTTGGCACAGGTTTCTTTTACCTGCCTGTGAACTACGTACAGCAGTACATTAAGCATCACTCTGCAGAAACAATTATGTGATTTCGTGGATGTTTTAAATCCCAGGGTAAGATACTAACACTTAACACTGTACAGCATTTGATTATGTATTTATAGCAGTTAATATTTATATACACAAAGGTTTCATTCTCCATGTATGGAAGTTCAACCTGTATGTATTTCCCAGCCATTAACAATTACTGGATATGGAAGTCAATGGAAACTGAGGGGGAGGGGGGTTGTATCAGAAAAAAATAAAAATTGAGATAGCAGTTGTAAATTTACAGTTTTCCTTCTTACCAGTAATTCTGGTGTGACTTTGGGGAGTCAGAACAGATTGAGAACAGCACAAGTAACGTGATTAGATATTAGGAAGAAATTCCCCCCTGTGAGGGTGGTGAGGCACTGGCACAGGTTGCCCAAAGAAGCTGCGGCTGCCCCATCCCTGGCAGTGTTCAAGGCCAGGTTGGATGGGGCTTGGAGCAAGCTGGTATCGTGGAACGTGTCCCTGCCCGTGGCACGGGGTTGGAACTGGATGAGCTTTAAGGTCCCTTCCAACTCAAACGGTTCTGTAATTTCATTCCTATGGGAGATTTCGCTGCGCAGCCACAGTGAGAGGCTGCAGCACACCAGCCAACCCCCGGCATCTTCTCCTAGGCAGACCTCCAGCCGGCTGCCGGGATTGGGGGGGAGGGGGGCGCTGCAGGATAGTCTGTGCCTCATGGTATGGTGGGAAGGCTGAGAAAGAGTCCCTCCAGCTCCCAGCAGTTGTACGTGGGGAGGCTGCCTTTAAAATTCCACCATTTTCTGGCATCTTCCACCAAGCTCGTATCTTTTCTTCTAGCCAACACAGTGGCCACTGAGACCGGTTCGACCGACTTCTGATGCTGTCCCCAGCACAGGAGAATCGAACTCAAAACAGCCCCACACATGAAAGACGCTACTATTCAGCAGTAGCGACGAGCCCACATTGTTTCGCCCGTCCCGGTCAGAAGCCACGATCTCCTCAGGAAGAGCAGGGGCCGTCCCGCACAACCCGTGCAAGAGCCGAGGGCCGAGACCCGGCTGAGGCGAGCACCCCGCCCGCCGAGGATATGGCGAGGAATAGGCGCTGCACGGCTTCTCTGGATGGCCGCCGCCATCCACAGGCTGGTTGCCGACAACGTGCCCACACAAGCGGGGACGCGGAGGCCGAAGCTCGGCGTCCCCTTGCCCAGGGAACACCCTCTGCCTTAACCAGGAAACATCAGCCACGATCCCCCCCACCTCCGCCATGGCGCAACCCTTACGGAACGCCTCTGGCTGGTGCCACAAGATGGCGGCAGCAGCGGCCGCTAGGAAAGCAAGGGGAAGGAGCGGCGGGCAGCGAGGCGGGTTACTCTAGCCAGACTCTCTACGCTCTCAGCCGTGCACATTCTATCCGCCGACCTCGGTGCCTCTCTATGGTCGGGAGGCCGCTTGCCGTTGGCAGGCTGGCGGCGGCGGGCAGTGGTCGGTAGAGGGCGCTGTGGCCGCCCTTGCGGCTGCTATCATGCTCGGAGAGCCGGGCCTGGGCCTCGGCGCGGGTTGGCGGGAGCGAGCGGTGTCAGAGCGGTGTGGTGCAGGGGGGGTCGGTGTCTGGCGGGATGTTCCGCAAGGCGCGGAGAGTGAACGTGCGGAAACGGAACGAGTCGGAGGACGAGGATGAGGAGCGCGACGAGGAGCCGTCTCAGGAGCCGGCGCCGGCGGCCGGGGTGGTAGAGGAAGGGGCCGGCGAGGCCTCCATGGCGCTGGCGGCGGGCCCCGGGCTCCTGCCGCTACCCGCCGGCTGCGTGCCCCTCGCCTTGCCCGGCAGCCCCGCGGCCTTCGCCTGCGCCGCGAGCTACGGCGCGGCTCTGGGCTTGGGGCTGAGCCTGGCGGGAGGCGACAGGACAAGCCTGGGGGCCCTGCCGGCGTCCGCCTTCCTGCCCCCCCCGCCGCCGCCGCCACCGCCGCAGCAACAGCAGGGCAACGGGCTGCCGGGGCCCGGGCGTCCCAAGGAGAAGAAGCGGACGCGGGAGAACAAAGAGGTCCCTCGGGCCAGCCTGCTCAGCTTCCAGGATGAGGAGGAGGGTGAGGCTGCCCGCCTTTTGGGGGCGGAAGGGGCCCGGGCAGCCTGCACAGGCGTCCGCTCGGTGCCTGCCCCCCCCCCCCCGGGAGATCGGGCCTTTTGGTTTATGTATTTGTAAGGCAGTGGGGCTGCCCCGTGTGGGATGGGGGCGATGGGGGATGCACGAGAGGGGTAGAGCCCTGGAGGACGCGGTGCGGCGGGGCAGGGAGCGCCCCATCGGCAGTCGTCTTCGGCCCCGAGCCTACCCTGCTTCTGCGGGGCCATCGTGCTCCCAGCACCGGGGTGGTGTTCCGAGGGTTTAATTCCGGTTTAGTGGGGCAGATTGTCTCTGCTTCGGTGTTGCCGGTTCTTGCCTGTTGCACCCCGTGTGGCTTGACCTGGGTTTGTGCAGCACCCCGTACAAGGCCCAGCGCTTGTGCAGCCCTCCTCGTCCGCCGCAGAACCTGCAATGCTGTCTTTCTAGCAGCTTCGTGTCCAGTTTGTTTTCGTCTAATGTGCTGGTGTTCATAGGTTGGACTGCCAGTTGTCCTAGCAAACTTCATGTGAAGCCACCGGTGGTTTGTTGCAGTTAGTTCGTGGAGCTGCCAACGAGGTTTTGTTAGGTTAACCTTCACAAATAGTGGAAAAAGTGGCTGAGCAGTTTCTGAACCAGAGCTTTTGTAAAAGTAACATAATTGTGTTTGTACAGTGCTTTAGCTAGAAATTCTACTGGGTTCCAGCAAGTACTATACTCATGAATTGGTCTGATCACACTCAGTCTGATTATGGATAATAGCTGTTACATATTGAAAATTATCAAAAAACAGTCCTCAAACTCCAGAGTTTGTGGCATCCCAGAAGTTCGGGGTGAGTAAAATGAGGAACATATTTTTCTTACACCTTTTGTTAGCAGGAGAGTTAGTATGCATTTTGAAGTTTCTTGGAAGGAATAGTACTGTAATCATTGGGACATCGATTTTAAGACTGGTGGTTTGAAATCTTGACAGAAATACTGGAAACATGGAATTACACTGTAGACTTAAAAACACCCAAACACTTGTGAGTTTCCTACATTAAACTTTGATTTTTTTTCTTTAATTATTATTTCCCCCCCCCGGTGCTATTTACTTAAACTTACTGCATACCTTTTGGTAGGTTGTAGTGCTGCAGACGTTTGAACTGGTAGTACAACCAACACCAGCCAACCCTTCACTCACTATTTGTGTATATGTGTGGCTGTGAAAAGACCCAAAATGTTGTGGCTTCATGTTGTTTTCTTCCAAACGCGTGGTGACAGTGAAGGATCAGCCATGTTTTGGTTTTATAAAGAAGGCTACTACAGTTAGATAAAAGCAGGCCATGCATGTACCCTGTTGTGTAACTTCTGCCTTATTTTCTGTGTCTGTGCTGTGAGTGGAATGAACACACATGAAAATGACCACAAAAAAATGGGGTAGACATGAGTCCACATGAAAGGATATGGGACTGGTTTTGTTGCAACAGTACAAATATAAAGTCACCTTAAATTATGTTGTTAGTGGTATTTACTAAGTTCTAGGTGCAAAATTAACAGATTTAATAGGTAAGTATACTTCTTGGCAGGTCTAATGTAATGTTTTCCAACTTTTCTTTTAAAGAAACTGAAGAAGTTTTTAAAGTGAAGAAGTCAAGTTACAGCAAAAAGATTGTGAAACAGTTGAAGAAAGAATACAAAGAAGATCTTGAAAAATCAAAAGTTAGAACAGAGGTCAATTCTCCAACAGATGGTAACTGCAAAGCTAACAGAACCTTTT